TCTCCTGTTATGTTGCACACTGTAATTCCATGAAATGTGTAGTGTAATGTTTCAAGGGTGTACTTGGTAGCCGTGTTGGTCTGAGACAAGAAGACATACAAAAAACTAGAACTTTTGGACAATTTTCCAAAAATGGACAATTTTCTTGCAATTTCGCAGTTGGTCTAATAAAAGGTATCATTTTGGAACCATGAGTTCTGGTTTTTTGTATGTCTTACTGTAATGTCTAACTCACACCATTATCTTTTATCTTAGATGGAAACACTCAGGAGAGTGCCTTAGTGTATATAGGTTGTGCATGTACATGCGGGATGTATGGGGTGGGGATAAAGTTATTGTAGGAAATGGTAGTGCAAGAATTAATAACTGACTTTGTGGAAGTAACTGCTCACTTTATATGATATTTGGGTTTAAACAAAAAGAACAACATGACAAGGTCAGCTGGTGTATATCAGCACAGCTTCATTTAACTTACACCATCTGAGAATTCAGCCCATAGTTTGAAAGATGCACACAAAACAGACAATTTCCCTTTCCTCTCCTAATCTACGTCCCTCTGACAGAAGGTTTGCAAACATATGAGCATCAGTATTGTGAGACTTTTCCTCCCTCCACAGTGCTAATGTATAAGCATAATCATATATTTACAGTAAAAGTTTTAAAGGCAACAACATGTTATTAAAATATTTGTTTAGAATGGGTTCCTCATGCACCAGTAAATAGTTACAAATCTTTCCAAAATTAGAAATCTTATACTCCAATAAGACAATGTGTAGCTTCTATTCCTCTTTGCATTTGCCAAAGGTTAACTTGGTTGCTAACCTTAATGTACTTAAAAAGAAAGCACACTTCAGATTTTTTAAATTTTATGCTATTCTATTTTAGATGCATTTAATAACAGTAGGCTTGAAATACTGAGATCAGTACTTCAGACCTGGAGATACTGCATATAAACTATTATCCCGGCTTGTAGACCATTATTTAAAAGAAATAAATAGATTTAAAAAATCAGACATTCACAGGTACAGTTTCTATCATACAAGTACCTTCATCTGGTCGAGAGCAAACTTGGCCCATTTCCCACTGCAGCAGTTACAGGTAGTTACAAGTATCTTTAGTTTCCATCCTTCTGTACCTTCCTTGGATTTCTAAACCTAGAGCAGCAAGGACTGCAGAGAAACTCAAGAAGCACCCCGGGATCTCGCCCTGTCTTTTAAAGGCTTGGAATTTTGCATGAAAAACAAAGTTGAATACAAATCCTGTTTGCGTTATAAGTAATTAGCTGACAGTACTGTCGTTTCTTCGTGGCAAGCTACAATTTCAGTTCTGCCTCAGCAACTATTCAGTGGATTCTGCTTCACTGAATACAGCAGTAACCTAGCAGGCTGTCTGAAACCATCTTCGGGAGAACATTAACATTCCAAAGGAGTACCAAAAAAATCATCACAGGGCATTCCCATACCTTTACAAAATCAAAGCCATAAATCTGCCAGCGTTCCTCTCTTCTCCATTGATTCCTGTCAGTAATCTGCCTTTTTTTGATGCCAATTAGCACTCTTATCAGCAGAGCTGATTATTGATTATGGTTTATGACCTTCAGGTAAACCTCTTAATTAAGGGACTTCAAAGGAACAATATGTGATCATAATTCCAAGGTATGCTTGCTAAGGAAAATAAACCAACCTTGCAATGGGACAGCATGTATCCGAGAGAGGTATGGATGTATTCACCAACACCTCTGCTGCGTGTTTTAAAGCAGATATCTAAGACTGCCTTTTACCTGGAAGCTCCATGTGTTTGACCATTGCTTGCAAACATGGCCATGGGTATTTTTATTTGAAGAAAAATACCTTCTCAAGCAAGATTTGTCTCATTTTCCTTTCCCAAAAGAAAAGTAATAGATTTATAATCCTGTGTCAAGAAGGGGACATTTATTGAAAAACACTATTTCACCAATTTACAATTGGCAAAACAGGTTAGAGAGGCATTTGTGTCACTCCCCAGGCTAGGGAGCAGTGTGGAACCACAGTTTCACAAGAGGCTGTGCATGCAGTGCCCCCAGGACAAATAATTTCCTGTCTGCTTCCCAGTATGTATTGACTGCTATTTTGGGAGGTCCCTGTGCCCATAAGTGACTGCTATTATGGTCACTTTTCCAGCACAGGCTCTTCTGTTACCTTTTCCTAGAAATGTGGTCTTACAGTCTACCAGCCCAGGTGCCCCAGCCACTTCTCCCCAAAGTTCAGTATTGAATCTCTACCCAGCCTTTCCCAAGGCTTAAGCACATCCATCCCTAGAGCTCCAACTTTATGGCACTCATAATTCAAAATTACACTTCCAACAATACATGGTTGTCAAAACTTACAGATATGCTGATTTTGCAAACGTTTCTAAATACAGTTACTCTTTACCTTAGATAGCACAAAAGATATACCTATGACTAAAAAATAACAGCATCTTCAAGCATTTCCCTGTCTAGTGTCCTTCTCCTTCAGTTCATGGTTTCTCCTCTGAATCCCTGCAGTCCCCCACTCTCTTTCCTCCAGTCAGCTTATTTTGAATTTAGCTGGTTCCATAGTCAGAAACAGGCTCTTCGTAATGCCTTTCTCTCCCTTTCCCTTGCCCAAGCTGTCTGTCCGAGAAGTCCATTAAGACAGGCAAAGTTTTTTTCTTTTTTGGGGATGTCTTTTCTTGGATCAGTTGTATAGTTGGGAGAGATGTTGGACAAGCTTTCAGGCACTAGGGGCACCTATACATGTGATGGAGTTCTGCTCTGACATGTGCTAATTAGCACACATTGGAGCAGACTCAATTAAGCAAGTCTTCTGTGAGTCTGTTAGACCGTAGTAATTAGTCTGCTCCAGCAACCTCTGTATCACGTGTATTCAGTGTCCCCACATTTCAAAATGGAGGGGGGCGCACTTTAAATAAAGCTTGTTGAATAAGCTTCAGTTAAAGTGCCCCTGCCATCATTTTGAAGCACAGTGCTGAATACATGTGACATTGCAGGTGCTTTAATTAGAGGGGTTCTCAGAGCTGCTCTAATTAAAGTGCCCCCCCATCCCAGAACACGTGCATAGATGCCCAAAGAAGAATAGCACTTTGTGCCTGACATCCTTTCCCAACTATACAGTTAATCCAATAAAAGATATCACAGAAAAAACCTCTTGCCTCTTGTACATTTCCTTATTGTGACAGCTACAACAACACTCCAATACTACTATTTTACGTAAGCACCGATCACTACCACACATCTTGTATCCTATGATGTTTAACACCCCAAGTTAGTACCTGATTTCTTTGTTCCTTTGCTTGGATATTTTCTACTTTCCCAGCCTGAACCCATTCAGATGAACTTGAATGGACTGGTTTCAATTGCTCCCTGGTGCAGACATGTGAATGAAAGCCAATCGAGGTTTAATAGGCTTCTGTTTTTCCTAGTTTGGTAGGTCTGTAATACAGTCCCAACAATAAATGATGGATTCTATATTCACTGAGGCATTTATGATGCATCAATTTCAGATTAAGGAGCAGCTCTAAGTGGGACATAAGCAGATTCCCCTTATCATCACAGAATGTTAACACAATAACAGTGCAGGCCTCGCTGAAGTAGGGATTAATACAACTAGGGTGTCTACACAAGATTTTACTGTGGAGTTGCCTACTTAGCTCCACAGTAAATGTCTCCTATCTACACGTGCAGTGTTATTAGGCCATGGGAAACTAATAAACTCGGCAGCAGTGTAGTACTTGTAAATAGAAGTACTATCCTACTGTAGAGTTATTAACTGTGCAGCAACTCACATGCAGATGCTGACCTTAGAGTAAATTGCTTCCAGTCAGCCCAGCCAGCAGAGGGTCACACTCCTGCCTGCTGCCTAGCCACATGGCTTGGCAGCTGCTGGAGGCTTGTGGCCAAGCCAGCAACTTTGCTGCCCAATGCAGCCACTGTTGGCTGGGCCTGACCTCTTATGCCCACTTCCAGCCCAGGGCTGCCCCTCAGGCCCTGGGCCATACTGCCACTGCCAGCTAGAGTGCAGGGCTGACTCCTGTGCCCCTTGCCAACCTGGAGCTGGCATCCAGGCAGCTGCAGGTGAAGCCTGGAGCTCCCCCTGGCAGCTGCAGGGGGTTAGAGCAGGGCAGGAGCAGCCCTGACCTAAACTGCTCCTACCTGGCTCAATTTGCTGCTGTCCTGGGTGTACATGTAGACACTGCGCCTGGGAGGTTATTCAGTCACTTTAATTGCATACATAAATGTGCTCCCATTGATCAGTGCATACATGCTAACAGCATGAACCAAAGTATACCCCAGTGAATATGAAATTAGGCTTAAATGCCTTGCACAGAAGTGCTGAAAAAAAGTGCTTGATAGTTTTACAAGTGCCTTCAAAGCCAACAGATAGAGAATGAATTGATGAGACCAGTACAGAAGACCAAAACAAAGATTGGAGTGCCTTGGCAAACAGGTGTTTCTATCTGGTGGAGAGGGTGAGAAGTAGGATGTACATTGTATCACCTAAAGATGTTTTAGTAATTGGTGGGAACTAGGATGTGTATGCTGCAAACTAAGGCTGCTTGTACATGCCACAGGGATTTACTTCAGTTTAATTCTCCCTAATTGAAGTGGTGGGTTTTTAAAAACACCGCTTCAATTTAGGGATGTGGCCGGGGCAGAGAGATCGCCATGCCACAGAAACATGGCAGCAACGGCGAGACCACCATGCTGCAAGACTCACTGGAGGTGCAGCCATGTCCCGAACTGTAGCTGGCAGGGGCGAACATGCCTGAAGAAAAAAAAAATTGCCGCTGGCATGCCGATGCACTGGTGGGGACGGTGAGAAGACGCCAAAAACCCCACAGGACTGCCCAAAAGGGGAACCAGAGGGGGTTCCCAGCAGCCAAAGGAAATGGTAATTGGTGGCATAGCAGTGGTAATTGGTGGCAGCCTCTGACAGAGGAGCTGGCACTGCAAGCTGGCTTGAAGAAGTCATATGACTTACCTAAAAGAGGGATGCGGAGGTGCAGCTTTGGGGAGTGGAGCCGAAGCAGTGGTGGATCTACAGGACAAGAAGAGAGAGATGACTGGTAAAGACCATGAGTAAAAAACAGGAGGCAGTTGTTTCCCCTCTTGAATCCTTTTGGGGTACATTAGTTTATTTGGACTGAGCCTAAAAGGGCCAAGTATAGACTAGAACTTGGTGCAGGTGAACCAAGTCTAGAGTGGGCCTGAACTAAACCTAAGTGAAATTGCTTCCATGCAACATCTGTGTGGCAATGGGTTGGTGCTAGATGGGGTGTAGGGGAGGCGGAGCCCCAATGTTCTCGTGCTAATAATCAGACCTAACAAGATACCACTGATCAAGGATCTAACATCATTCTCCAAAGATTGTAGTTCCATCAAAGACATGGCAAGTGAGAACCATTGGTGGTCTTGATAACTGGTGCCAGTGGTCAAACTGTCAGTCCATAATGCCGCAGTTAACTCTTGGTGATTAGAAAAACATAAAAAGAGAGCTCAAGACAGGCACAGCAAGTTACAAGGGAGAATTAAACTGAAGTAAACCCCTATGGCATGTACACAAGGGTTGGGCCTGATCCTTACCTGCCTCTCGGGGTGG